CCCCCCCAGGGCTGCCCCCCCACCTCACCGCCCTCGCCTCAGGGCTGCCCCTCCACCTCAGCGCCCTCGCCTCAGGGCTGCCCCTCCACCTCAGCGCCCTCGCCTCAGGGCTGCCCCTCCACCTCAGCGCCCTCGCCTCAGGGCTGCCCCTCCACCTCAGCGCCCTCGCCTCAGGGCTGCCCCTCCACCTCAGCGCCCTCGCCTCAGGGCTGCCCCTCCACCTCAGCGCCCTCGCCTCAGGGCTGCCCCTCCACCTCAGCGCCCTCACCTCAAGGCTGCCCCTCTGTCCTGTCTCCTTCACCTCAGGGCTGCCCCTCCATCTCAGTGCCCTCACCTCAGGGCTGCCCCTGCATCTCAGCCCTCACCTCAAGGCTGCCCCTCCGTCCTGTCTCCTTCACCTCAGGGCTGCCCCTCCATCTCAGCTCCCTCGCCCCAGGGCTGCCCCTCCACCAGATGGATCCCTGTGGGTCAGAGCCACGCAGCCCCATGCCTGCCACCCCGTCCAGGGGCATCGGCCCTCCTGCCCTGCGTCCGAGGAGATCCCCGCTGAAATAGCCCCAGCAAGGTCCAAATAAAACATCACCATTAATACCCTCCATAACCACCTAACTCGGCAGCAAAGCAACCCTCCGTCACGCTCAGCCGGCCATCAAACGGCAACCCAGAGCAAGCAACATGCTAAGCAAATTCCAGGGAAATAGGAGCGGGTGAAGTTGTACCTTCGGGCTCCACGCTCCCTTCGAAATCACAGCCGAGAACGTGCTTTAAAAAAATCACATCTCGCTGTCCCCTTCCCCAGCACAGGCAGAGCCCGGCGCATCACACACACATCTGCGTGGTAGTGCTGCCTCGGAGGATTTACTACGGTTTGCCTCGCTTACTCGCCGTCCAGCCCCCATTTGCTTTTTTGGACCCTGGCAATCTGAGCTTGAGTATTTCAGTTGTCCAGTTGCCAATCAAAATATTTGAAGGAAATGTTTATTTTCTTCTCGAAATCACACCAGCTGCTGCACTAACTGAATAAGCCCATTTAGCTGTAAGAATTTAACCATTGTAAGAGTGAATTGAGTCCCCCAACTACTCCAAAATCTGACCCAATCTATCAGCGGAAATGTCAATGTTTTGGATGGGAGTTTGGGGAAGTGTGGAATGTGTATTAAATAAAAGCCATGTAAAGGTCAAAGCCCTGATTAGTAATGCCACTGTCTCCTCGTTAGGGCTGTGCTGCCCAGGGGATTGCGGAGGCCGGGACACACCCCGTTATTTAATTGTGCAGCTGCAATTTGCACCTTTTGAGGACCCCCAAGTCCCCCCGCACGTGGAGCTGGATAGAAACAGGCTTTCAAAGCCGCTCAGCCCCTTTCCAGATAAAACAACTGCGCTCAAGTGACACAGCAGCTTTCTTTTCGCCTCGGAGACAATATGGGTCTTTTCTTGGGTGGATGGCAAGGAGATAAATGCAAAG